CCCACAGAATGTGGAAATTATAGAACAATATCATTAATATCGCACGCAAGTAAGATCTCACTGAAGATAATTCAGAAACGTTTGCAGCAGTATATTGACAGAGAACTTCCAGAGGTTCAAGCTGGATTCAGTCAAATGCCTTAGGGGCTATGGCACCATGGAAAAACTAATCACTAATGTTATATGGGGGAGCTCTGGTAGCGTAGTGCCTAAGGCATTTGACTTCTAACCAGCAGGCTGGCGGTTCAAACCCACCAGCCACTCCTCAGAAGGAAGATGGGGCAATCTACTTCCATAGCGATATCGCCTCGGGAACCCAAGGAGGGGTCGCTATGAGTCAGGTCCGACTTGACGGCACATAACAACAACCACTACAACAATGTTATGTGGAAAGGAAAGAGACCTTGGATAAGCAAAGCACTACTGAAGAAGAAAAACAAAGTAGGAGGTTTCATACTCTCCCATCTCAAAATCCACTATAGAGCCACAGTAGTCAAAACATCCTGGTATTGGTACAGTGAGAGTCGCATGGACCAGTGGAACAGAATTGAGAACCCAGAAATAGATCCATCCACCTGGAAAACTTTTCTTTGACAAAGTGCCAAAAATCCATTAAATAGGAAAGAGATAGTCTCCTTAACAAATGGTGCTGGCAAAACTGGATATTCATTTGCAGAAAAACTAACTCCAGATTGATGAAAGACTTAAATGTGAAACCCAAAGCTATAAAGAAAAAATGGGATTAAACTTAAGGGCTCTAATTTATGGCATAAATAGACTATTAAATATAACCCAAGATGCACAGACAGCAGAAGGTAAACTAGATGTTTGGTACCATCTAAAAATTCAATTCTTATGTGCATCAAAAGACTTCTCCAAAAGAGTGAAAAGAGAACCTAAAGATTGGGTGAAAATATTAAGCAATGACATATCTGACAAGCGATTTATCTCTAAAATTTATGGAAAACTCCAACACCTCAACATCAGAAAGACAAACGATCCAATTAAAATATGGGCAGAAGACATGAACATACACTTCACCAAAGAAGATATGCAGGCAGCCAACAAACACATGAAGAAATGTTCATGATCGTTGTTGTTATTGTTATGTGCCATCAAGTCGGACCCAACTCATAGTGACCCCTCCTTGGGTTTCCAAGAGGGACAGTATCACTATATAACTACTTCTATAGTTCTATAGAAGTATAGTAGATACTTCTATTTGCCCAACCTTCCTTCCGAGGAGTGGCTGGTGGGTATGAACCATCAGCCTTCTGGTTAGTAGTCAAGTGCCTTAGGCACTATGCTACCTGAGCTCCTTCATGATCATTAGCCATTTAAAAAAAAAAAAAAATCAATCTCATTGCCATCAAGTCTGTTTGCTTCATAGCAACCCCTCCTTGGGTTTTGGAAGTGGTATCTCTACGGAAGTAGATTGCCCAGTCTTCCTTCCGAGGAGTAGCTGGTTGGTTTAAACTTTCAGCTTTCTCATTAGCAGTCAAAATGCCTTAGATACTATGCCACCAAAGCTCCTCATTAGCCATTAGAAGGATTCAAATCAAAACAATGAGATACCATCTCGCTCCAGCAATAATAAGAAAGCTCAACAAGACAGTCCTCACAACTGGACCAATGAGCAGCATCACAATAAATGGAGAGAAGATTGAGGTTGTCAAGGAATTCACGTTGCTTGGTTCTACAAT